GGGGGGGGGCATTTACATCCATAAACACCCAATTCTTATCTATTCTTATCTTGCAAAATGAGCAACCTTACTGGATTTTATAGTAGTTGACATATCGATCAAAGCCAACTACAACGGCACCAACCTGAAATGATATCAATCAAAAGATCTTTGAGGCAAATATAGCATTGAAATAACCTATAGCTGAATGAAGCAGAATTAAAGATCTTCTTAGTCAGATTTGAAAAATGAAATGATAAGCAAGTGGAAGCGTACATTTTTGTCATGCTCCATCAGAAAACCAGGTTTTAGCTCTATCTTCTTTTCACCATCAGCCTGAAATATAATGTATTCCAACTAATTGAACTTTAAGCCAACAATAAAAAATAATAATAATAATAATAATAAAATTATTGAATAGAATATTAAATACCAGCATGACGCATAACATTAAAAAAATACAAAAATGTAAAAGTTGAAACAGAAAAACCAAGCTCCAGTGGTAACCTACACTATCTAGAAGTATGTAATGATGATTCTGATGTGTAATAAACGTACCGGACCACCAAGATACTGAAATCCAGCAAGCTCCAGCTCCTTAAGAATACCATCCTCACCTATCACATAAACCTGAAATTTTGAAAAATAACATAGCACTTTGGATTGTAAGCTACTACTTCTCATCTGTTTGTGTAAATATCAAGCTAATAAAAAATCACAACAAATTTTATAACTAAAGAGGAGGAAAGTGTAAACGTATAAAAAAGCTGGAACATAATAATAAAAATAACAAATCTCCATGAATGAATCATAAGATAAATATTCAAACAGCTATAAGTAACTGGATACCCTTTAATAGAATTGATATATGATTTTACACAGCCTAAAAGGTGGTAAAGTTGCAGTTATAGTATCATAAAATGTCTAAATCAAGGAAGCAAATCCTCCATAAGTGTTATCAAGGATGCATGGCTTCATACAACAGAGTTAGAGAGGAGTAGATGTTTGTAGCCTCCCCGCTTCTGTAGAAAGATTGTTTCCATGAATTGAACCTGAACCACCAAAATACACCAAATGCAACCATGGAAATCAAGAAATTAACTCAATTCTTGCCACATGGGTGCAAATAGAGATACACTTCATGAAGCAAATGAGCCAAAGAAATAGCAGGTTTAGGCGCTAGCTACAGATCAAGTGAACATAAAAGAGTGTGACCTCTCTTCAATTACTTGCCAGTCTTATTTTGCAAGGATTTAATACTCAATGGACGCTTGATGATCAGGAAGAATGTATGTTTTGAATTTAGGTAACGTGCTAATCATCAGCTTGATGAAACAATAAATTAGAAATAGTAACAGACCACTCAAAGTATGTGACAGTGTAGAAGCAAAAAGAAGAAAAAGGTGATTGTATGTGTTCAATAATCTGATCTCATTAAGTCACATTCTGAGTTACACATATAAGTGCTTTTGTGCTTTGACTATTAGCAGATAACATGAATCCTATTTCAATACAGCATAAGCATAAGCTTGGTACAAAAATGTTCCTAAGAATTCTCAGTATCTTCATCTTTGTAAACATGATCTACAATTTTCACACTAATACAAGCTTTACTAAAGTCCCTAAATGGATAGAATGTCATACAAATAGCAAGAAAACTGAATGATAGGCACTGGAACTACAAATTGAGATTACAATTTGCCGTCCATGTATCTGCTCTTTACTAACAGCTGCATAAACTAAGATCCTCACCTTTTTATCTTTAGGGAAATCAATGGACTCCAAATAAGCAGCAGCTGCAAAAGATGATGCAAATATCTCCTCCTAAAATAATAAAACAGAAGGACAAAATATATAAAGTCAAAGAAAAAGTGAAAATAACACAATATAAACACCCAGCAAGTTAGTCAAAGAATTCAAACTCATACTAAAATCAACTAACCTCGCTGACATTAAGACCCAATGTCTCAAACTTCTTGCCATACTGCTTCCTTGACTTGGTTGAATTGTTAGTTACAAACACCTGTCTCGTTCCCTAATGGAAAGTCGAAAAAACCTAAAAACATTCAAAACGAAACCAATCTAAAAATCTCTAAAAGTAACAACCGAAAAAAACCTTTGAACGTAACATGTCTAGGGTTTCGGGAACCCCGTCGATCAACTTATCCCCCTTCCACACCACTCCTGCAAAACCCAATAAATGAAAGCAACGCAACTCAAATCCACGAGAATTCGTACGGTAAAAAATAAATGAGGCTAACAGAGAAGAAGGAAAGAAAAAGAAATCAGCCATCGCAATCAAATACGAAGGTCTCGACCGAATCGATACATGAAAAAAAAAAAAACGCAACTCAATACACGAGAATTGACACGGTAAAAAGCAAATGAGGGTAGCAGAGAAGAAGGGAAGAAACAGTAACCAACCATCGCAATCAAATATGAAGGTCTCGACCGAATCGATAAGCTCGTCGGGATTCTCCAGCCTCTTCGCCGCGACTTGCATGACCTCCTTCGACGCCGAAGCCGCTCGCCAGCTATGGTGGCCCCGCCTCCGCCGGACGAGTGAGGAAGAACCCAAGAGTCCGGATCGGAAGCTGATGTTGCTCGGTAGGAGAGAGGAGATCAGAGTTTTGGAAGAGGGGGAAGAAGGTGAGCAGAAGAAAGAGAGGCAGGAGCGGTAGATCGAGGCCGTTGTCGTAATGAGCATCTCGAACTGTTCGTCCCTCTCCACTGCTTTTTATCGAGTGGGAGGAGAGAAGCGCTCCTCTGAGCAGAGAGCATAAAATGGATTGGGATTTGATTCTAATGTGTGGGTGTGGGAACCTTTGGAGGGAAAGTTCTGGACCTCATTCTTTTGCTGGCCTTTAGCCATCCATATATATATGTACTCTTAACATTGTGCTCAATCTTGAATTGTTTGTCTAAGCACATTATATTATGTCATGATATAAAGGTTAATAAAAAGTTGCGTCCTCCTTAACCATATCAGAAATGCCTACTTAAATATTTTTAGATAATTAGTTTTGTTCATATTTTTTATATAATTTAGAGTATTAGAAATAGTATTAATTTTCTAACATTTTAACTTGGTGGTGTGGGCGAAAGTAGGTCTTTAATTAGAGAACATTTTTCATACGGAGTTCAAAAACAGCTCTGAGTGCGAACTCCAATAATATGCCGTCATATGTATTACATAACGAAGATTATTGGGGGATTGTTGAAGAAAACCGCGGAAGTTATTAGGAAATTATTGAAGTAAAACTGTAGAAGCTATTTAGAGGTTATTGCAGGGGTTATTAAAATAAAACCGCGAAGGTTATTACAGAATTATTGGGGGTTTATTACAATTAAACCGCAGAGATTATTGAGGTATTATCAAGGGATAAATTACTACGTTATTGAAGTTAATACTCTAATAACTTTACAATAACCTCCAATAACATCCGCAGTTCCACTCAAATAACACTCCAATGTAGCACACAAACGGCATATTAGTGGAGTCCACATATAGAGTATGAAAATTTTTCTCCTAAAATTATAAAAATATGGGAAGGTTTTAAAATCGGGTTTTTTTTTTTTTTTTTTTTTTTTTCTGTGATGATATATACAAAATAAATCGATAAATGAACGTAGGAGTAACAAAAGCTGCTCTATGCGAAGTAGAGCAGAAATTTCAAACTAAGTTAAAACCTGATAATATTTTAAATATTAAAATATAAAATAAATTAATATAGAAATTTAAATATAGGATATTAAAACAGATAAAACTATAATAACACGTACATAAACAAGAGATTCTGAGAAATAAATAAAAAAATTTATGTTGTTAATGGCAAGTAGTGAGCTTCAAAATATGAAGCCATTCATTCCTGAGCAAGATATTCTTCAAAAAATCTAATAAATTTTTTATAATGATCAGCTTTATTTAAATAAATCCAATGATCATAAAAGCATGATCCCTATTTTCCAATGCAAAGGCAGAGACGCATGACCAACAGATATAAGGTACCAAAATTTACATAAAACAACAGTTCAAGAAGCCTTCCATAAACACTAAGTTTGTTCTCATCTTAGAATTACATAATAATAATTAATTATTAAGGCTAAATATAGGTTTGATTAGACTTTCCTAATGAGTAGGAATAGCCTCTGGTCCAGTTCAAAGTTGGCTGCATTTGAGGGATCCCCCTTCAGCAACATTAGAAGACCGCCAAATGACACATAAATCTCTCTGCCACCAAAAATGACAATGGATAAGGTAAGCATCCTCTGCTTTCCAAATAAAAAAATTTACATACATAACCACTTAATTTTAAGGCATTTACATATGGGTACCAATGCAAGCAAATGTCCCAAGAGAAAATTGCAGTAATGAAGAGATTTAAGAAAGAAAAACGTACACTTTTATATCAGGGCCACCGGCGCTCTCTTCTGAAATCTTATAGAGTTTGCCATGCATAACATACTCATATTTGTCTGCAAGTGACTTCTTCTGTCCCTGAAACAAGAGAAAATAATAAAAAAAAAGTTTCATAAATGAGAAATCTGAAGCAGAGTGAAAGAGGATTTAAAATCAAGTCATGGAATAAGGTTATGGGAGCTGCTAATTGTGATAATGTTTGGAAACTAATTAACCTCAAATAGCAATGATTTATTCAAAACATTTCTATATCGCAAACCCAGCAAAGGTGGGAAGGATTTGGGGAATAGTTGGTGATTTACTTGTCCTTTGTCGCAATGATCCATTGAATGCCATGAAATTGCATCATATTAACCGCATAAAGAAGCCTAAGCCTTGATTTGCCATAGATGAGTAGAAGTTAAGAAGAACAGAAGGGAGATTATGACGAGAAGATGATGAAACATTAAGAGCTTGTTGAGTTTTTTATTTTTTATATCATTTTAAAAACATGTTCATTTAGTACATTTTTTTGTACGTTTCTGTTTTTTATTTTTAAAAATAAAGTAATTAATTTTTAAAACACTTAAAAAGGTTATTTTGAATGCTGTAAAGAATAATTATGTCATAACATACCAACTATGTTTCATTTTATGTAAAAACATAAACAAAACCAAATTTAAAAGAATGAAATAAAAATCAAAAGTGATCCCAAACTGCTCCTTAAGTATCAGATAACAAAAGAGTCACAGCTTCAAAAGAAAGTTCTGTAAACAAGAGCAGCATATCATAGTGCATGTGTGTGTTGCAGCCCCTCTCTCTCTCTCTATCTCTCACTTTCTCTCTCAGAAAAATATTTTTATACTATTAAATATAACTTAACAAAATATAAAAATAGCTATATCCTGGATTTCAATAAAAGGGTATGTCACTAGCTAAATCTTGAGGATATCCTTACTTAATAATCCTAAGGCTGCTAATTCCACCAGACCTTAGTTACTTTTCAACAATTTATATTATGTATTTATTATATAATATATCCAATAAAGTTGGTGATGGTGAATTTAAGTGCAAAAACTTGTTTCTATGCTGGTCTGCTATGCTTCTCGTCACACGAAACCAATTAAAATAAGCTTCAACGCCCTAAAAGAAGGATTTTTTTGAGAGTTTCTCTATGGTCCATCACCAATTTCGACCATACAGATAATACAGTGCACAGCAGAACACTTGCATTCGAATATTTGAGCACTATTTGCCAATTTTACTCCATCAATTTAAGAGTGGCTATTTCTAATACAATGCGAGCTTTCAAAGACCCGAACCAATTATTTATTTTCATTGGTGATTTGCATGTAAAAGCTTATAGTCTACAAAGAAATGAAGTTACTGGAAATCATGAATCTATCTTTTCAAAGAAAGCTTCATGTAATGTGCAAATCATTGGGGTATGGTATACCACAGCTTGGGAACAGAAAGAAATGTCGTCAATTAAAATCATGAACCTGTTTCTTACGAAAGCTCCATGTAATCTTTACAAATGTTCGGAATCAAGTTATAATTTCAAACAACTTGCCATGTCTTTCAACGAAAGTCACAATATCAAACATTTCTAGATAGTGAAATTTGCATACTTCTTATGTATGTCAATATGCAAGTTCATGGGTGAGCTGTGTAGATACATAAGAATTATGTTGGTATTTATACATTTGAAGAGCTGTTTTTCTAGACTACATATTATTCTCAGCAACAACATGCAGATCAGCACCAGAACTAAGAAAATTTTACTTCATGCATTGCCAATGAAAAACTTCATTTCATAAAGGCAATCATCATCAACCCCTCTGATGTTTACCAGCATTATATAATTTTCAAAATATGGCCACAAACCTGCATGAAATAACCGGAGTCAGGTGTTCCATCGAAATTGAGAGTTGAAGCAAGAACCATTGTGAATTTTTCCCCAACATGAAGTGGATAAAGCTCCGAATTCACATCTAATTGCATGTACATATCAAACTGCTCACTCCGTGCTTCAATCCTAGACACTGCAACCCATCCATTAAGGAATAGCATCATCGCACAGTCTATCATACCAATTCAACAATAATTTCCCACGCCAAATTGCGTTTTAACTAATCTAAGAAATTAAAAACAAGTTGCAATTGAAAATTCTAACTTAACTGTCCGGCGAAACAGTTCTAAAATGACGGGAAATGGAGGAAATCTAAGAGTCTGATACCTTTATCGAACTTTTTGCCATCAGGATCGATTCTGGTCACCGTGAAGATATCCTCGAACAGGAGCTCAACCATTTTAGCCTATAAATTCTGATGGTGAAGTGGAAAGAAGTTTGGGGATGTCTGCAGCCGAAGGATGCCGCAGAGCTCGAGATTACAGCCGGCTGGATTCGACCTCCACAGGAAGGGAACACTCAAATAGGACAAGAGAGATATATTTGTAGGCGTCGGCAACACGTTAGGTGCCGAGGAGGAGAACCGTAAACCCTAGATTGTCCTTCTCGTGGATCCATCATATATATATATATATACTTGTGTGTGTGGCTGTCTGAGAAAGTAAATTTAATAATTTCATTTTCAATTTAAAATTACCATTTTGTTTTGATATACTTTTTTATAAAGAGAAGAAACATGATTCTATTTTTTTGTTTTGGATCTTTGAGAGCTCGTTAATTAACAAATTAAGAAAAAAAATAGATTTAAATAAAAAATTGTTTATCTTATTTTTTCTCTCTTTTTTATTATTTATCTTCTTTTTGTTCTTCCTACATGCTCTTTTTTAATGTAAAAAAAAATTATGTCAATATAAAGCCTCTTTGACGACGCGTTTTTATTAAGGAGCAGCCCAAAAACGTAAATTTGTGTGTTTGATTTTCGCATCAGGGCGACATTTTTTAAAAATTTCCTTAAAATGCAGTCGCAGGTTCGATCCCGCAGCCCGTATTTCTCATCTCTCAACCGCGAGTATATTTACCCTGCGACCCCTCTTCTCGTGTTTCCTCAATGTCTTTCGCCCACACACCCTCTCCTGTTATTCTTCTGCCCTAGATATCTCTCTCATGTGGATTGATGGCTCTGATGGCTAGGTGTTTTTACGTTTGGTTATTTTCAGTTACGAGTGATTGTTCTGGTGAACCTTACATTCTTCTCTCTATCCCGCTCTTTCCTTCCGCTCGAATTTTGGTGGTTTGTGCACTATATGCTTTGTGTGGTGGATGTGTCCTTCAATTTGATAAATCACTTTGGTTTGTGATTATGTCGGTTCGTGGTTCTTCCGTTAAGTTGTGTATTCTCTCATCTCCTCTTTCTTCAGCTCGGTTTGGTGGTTGTGTGGTGTTCCCTCTTCTTCCCGTCTTCTCCATTCTTCACATTTTTCTCTCTTCTATGTGTAGATGTGAACATTATGATGGTTGGTTTCATCTTTTAGCTCGATTTTGGTGGTTCGTTGTTTGCTCATGTTTTGTGGTTTTCTGTTTAATATGCTCGGTTATGTGTTTTTTATGCTTCATGTTGCATCCAAACTTGTTTTGGTTTATGCCTTCAATGTAATTTTGCTTGTATTGGTGTTTTGCATTGATCTTTGGATTATTGGTGCTTTACCTTGTTAACAATGCTTCGGGTCCCCTATATGTGGTCTGTTCGATTTCTTTTGATGCTTATATTATGGGGAATTTAAATATCTTTATGAACTTTGATATTTCAGTGAGGAATTTGGTATTGGATTTGTGAATAGCAATATTTCGGGGCTTTGTACGTGTTGTGTTGTTGCGAAGGTTGTGACGATGATATTGAGGCATTACAATTTTTCTTTATTTTACAATATTGTGGCATTTATATTTATGTTAATTACTTTATTTCATCATAGTAAAATAATGGTTAAGACCAAAGATGTTGGCTCACCTACAATGTGGGAGAAGAAACAAAAATATTTTGTGATCTTTGCCTCAAGAAGATCAATCTGAGAAATATGTCTACAACCTATTATAATAAAGAAAACTGACATAATATTATCAGAAAATTCAAAGAAAGTACAGATAGAGAGTATAGTATGTGCAATTAAAAAACAAGTGGGATCACCTCAAGAAGGACTGTAAAATCTGAAAAATTGAAACGAGAGTCAACAGGCTTGGGGTGATATCCGGTGAAACAAACAATTGATGCTTCCGATGAGTTGTGGGTAAAAAGACTTGCATCAAGCATTTTTTAAATGTTTGATCAATTTTGATTTTCTTTTTAAATTAAACTAGATGCTATATAAATTTATAGACGGTGCTTGCTGCAAAAAAATTTAAATTCAGTGGAATCAATCTTAAGTTGGAAGAGAAATTGGATATATGTTTGCTTGATATAATTATAAGTTGTTAAAATTCAGCTAGAGCTTGTGTTGAGTTTTCATGCGTTGTTGAAGCTTGATTTGCTTAGCTTTTTCAATGTTTGAACTTGATTTGTTTATGACAACTAAACGAGTATTTAAACGAGCTAAGAAATTCAAACAAGAAACTATATTTTCCTATAAAAATTTAATAAATAAATTTACAAATCTAATCGAGCTACTAAATTGTCGATTATAAAATCTAAAATCTTTAAACTTTACTATTTGGCTACAAAATTCTTATGAATGAGACTTTACTAACTCAAATTTTATAAGTGGAAGTATTCAATTGATCTTAAAAGTTATAGGAATGATCATTTACTTAATCATATTATTCAGGAATTATTGCAATAAACCAATCCACATTAATGTTACTGGCAATTGCGATGTGATGGTCATAAAAAATTAACTCATTACATTCAAAGTTGTGAAAACTTTCTAAGAAAAATATTATTAACACTTTATATATCATTCTAAATTATTACACTTATTAATAAAATAAATATATAAGTAAACTAAAAGTATTATTGATATAGTATTGTTACTATTAAATTTATAATTAAATAAATTGTAACTAATTAATTTTCATTTAAATAATATATCATATATATAATACAAATTATTATCAAACTTAACATTGAGTATTTAATAAGGTACTTATTAAACAACAATTGAATATAAACGAAAAAGTCTATGTTCATGTTCATCTTATTTAAGCTTCGAAGTTTTAAAAATTATTCAAATTCATTTATTTATTTAAATAAATATAATCGAGCTTTTCAAATATTTTAAAGTGCATTATAAAAATATATAGTAATTGAATGATATGCATCCAAATATTTCTATAATAAAATGTATTTTTTTTTCTTTACTAATTCTCCTTTATTTCTAAAAAAAACAACCAACCTTTATCTTATTATTCCAGTGCATGTCTCGGCCCCACCACAAGGGTCTACCACGCTGGCACTTCGTGAAAACAACGCAAGCAATCAGAAAAAAAACGAACGTCGGATACGAATCCCACGTGTACGGTTTGTGGGGGAATAAATCGGACGGACGAGATAGTCGCGTGATTTGAAAGCCATATTGACCGACTACGCTCTCTCCTCCCCCCGAATAAATAACCTCAGCTCCTCGTCCCCAATGACCAAACCCTCGCCTTTCTTCCATTCCAGCTCTCGCGAAGAAGAGGACCAATGGTCTCTTTTTTTTTTTTTTTTTTTTTAATTTCTTATTTTAATCTAACCTCTGGGGTTTGGCTTTGTATTACGGACCGCGCGATTTTTTGTAGGAATTTTAATTTTGATTTTGATTTTGATTTCTTTGGTTCCATTTCAGGCGCTTCCGAACCAGCAGCAGGTGAATTACCCTAGCTTCAAGCTTGTAATCGTCGGCGATGGCGGGACGGGTGAGGATACTTTCGTCATTCTAACTTTTCGCTCTCAGATTTTATAGAAATTCTCGATTTATTCGGCTTTTTGTTGGATCTTTTACAGGGAAGACTACCTTTGTGAAGAGGCATTTGACGGGGGAGTTCGAGAAGAAATACGAACGTAGGAATCCAATTCTTGGATTACATATATATTTACTTTTAAAGCTTCTGCAATCTGATCTGTTTTTATCTGTTGTGTGTTTGTGGGATCTTACAGCTACCATTGGCGTTGAGGTGCATCCTCTAGATTTCCACACCAACTGCGGGAAGATCAGATTCTACTGCTGGGATACTGCAGGGCAGGAAAAGTTTGGAGGTCTTAGAGATGGATATTAGTGAGTTCCTGTGTTTTTTGAACTAATCCGTGGTTTATCTTGCATTTCATTTGATTATTTTATCAGATTATTATCTGAATTATTCGGAGCCATTATTCTATCTACTTATGGCAGCGATTTATGGAATATAGAGGTTTTGCATTCTTCTTTATTCGGAGCCATTATTCCATGTAATTGTAGGGTGTTTTCTCCATGTTCAGTTTATAGGCTGTTTGATTCATTCTGTTTTATTAACATCCCAGTGTTAATAGATCTCAATGCAATATTAAGGGGAATTTACATACATACCACCCAATTCCTATCTATTTATATATCTGACTACTAAACTTGACCTTTTTACATTTATATCACCCAAATCTTTCATATCACATCAAAAATACAATATTTAAACTTAAAGAAAAGGTGAAATACATGTAAAGGTGGCGTAAGGTATGTAAATACATAGGAATTAAGCCGTATGCATGTAAATCTTCCTATTTTTAAATGAGGCTCAAATTCAAAACTTTTACAATAACTTTCAAGGCATTTACCTGCGTATTTTGGTATTTTAAGATGTAATTAACTGCTAGATTATATGTATTTCTTGGTTCGGTATTATTATCTTCAACATTATATTATCAGGCTTTAGAGAATGTAGTTGAGATCTAAAGATGTCTATTACAGGTTTAGATACCATCCAATTCCTATATCCTTACATATCTAACTAAACTTTATTTTTTTTACATTTGTACCCCCCAACTTTCCAATCACATAAAAAATATCACTATTTTAGCTTCTAAAAAGTGAAATACACTTCAAATGCATGGGTAAGTTAGCATGTATTTAAAAATTGAAGTTTAGATGTTAGATATGTAAATACATAGGAATTAAGTGGTATGTACATAAATCTACCTTAGATATCACATTACATTGCCCTAAGTGCATGCTAGATTGCAGCCCCTAAGTGCATGCTATGTAGTCCCTATTTTGATAAGGTCCTGCATAAAAATCATTTATTTATGATTAAATGGAAGTTTGTGGAGTGTTATGCATTGCCTGTGTCTGTGTTTTGCCTTCCATCAATATTCTATTACTTTGTTAGGAGACCTTCACTGTTAATTTGATGTTTTGGAGATTGTGCTTATGGAGCAGCATCCAATATTTTGTCACTACATATACTTACATGGTAGATATTTGTCTTAATAATAGGTTGCCATACATACATACATGCATATATATATATACATACATGCATATATATATATATTATATATGATATTTTGCCCCTGTATTTCTTCAAATTTCTAACCGCACCCCAATGATTCATCAGCTAACCCAATGATTATTTATTTTCAGCATCCATGGACAATGTGCCATTATTATGTTTGATGTGACGGCCCGCCTTACATACAAAAATGTTCCTACATGGCACAGAGATCTCTGCAGGTAAGTTTGCAGGAGAGGAGAACTATAATAACCCCAATTTGATTCGATAATTCACTTTAATCTTATAAGCCATATTATATTGATTCCTCTCAGAGTTTGTGAGAACATTCCAATTGTTCTATGTGGAAACAAAGTGGATGTGAAGAACAGACAAGTGAAGGCAAAGATGGTCACTTTCCACAGGAAGAAGAATCTCCAGTACTATGAAATCTCAGCCAAAAGCAATTATAATTTTGAGAAACCCTTCCTTTATTTGGCTAGAAAACTTGCTGGGTACTGAAAATCACTACTTTATATATTATATAATCTTCTAAAATCCCTTTATCATTTTAAAAAATATTGACTATTATTATACTATTTTTGCAGGGATCCAAATCTCCACTTTGTTGAATCCCCAGCTCTTGCTCCTCCTGAAGTCCATATTGATCTTGCTCAACAACAGCTGTAAGTTTTAGCTAACCACCTTATTATTTATTTTTTTAGAGATTATTTTAGCTATTTTTTTGGATGATTATGTAGTCATTGTTCTTTAATTTGTTTGACAGCCATGAGAAAGAGCTTATTGATGCAGCTGCACAACCTCTTCCAGATGATGATGATGAAGCATTTGATTAAAATGAAAGATCTCAAATCTGTGTTAAAGATCATATATATGCATCAATTATGATCTTTTCAGGTTTTGAAGTGTTTGGTAGAGAGAGACCTATTAGCAGTTTAGTTATCTTCTTTTCAGCTCATTTGTAGCTTTTTGAATGAAAACTTTTGTTCTGAAAACATTTCAACATTTTTATATTCGGACTGGAATGATTTTATTCTGTTATCAATCATTCCCTACTATAATGTTTAGATACTAATTTACAACATATGTTATCAATTGAAAGACTTGGTTAAATTGAGCAATGGGTTATTCGGAAATGTAATTAAAAAAAAAAAGAAAGATTAAACAATATAGTAAAAACATTAAAAAAACACACTAATATATTTAATTTAATTAGCTGAAATTATATGAAGTCAATATGAATGTAAGTTACAGCAGGGGAATCAATGATATTCAGAAAAATACCAATTCCATTTGCTATCAATTTTGTTGATGAGTAATTTAATTTACTTCTTAAGCTGTCTGTACATTTACAGTTAATGGGGATTTTTATAAGAATTGCGTTGTATAAATCATCCTGGCTATTATTTCATTAGCCGTTTGCAAAACCAGTTGGAATGTTATATTATATGGGGATTTATGCACTATGAGAAAGATGGCTAATGAGATAAATTAAGTAATATAAAATTATCTTTTATCGTCCAAGGGTAATCTGCATAAAAAAATTGTATTATATTTTAATGTCGCCACTCCATACTTCAATTTTTTTTTTTAAATTTTTAAGAAAAAATGATTGAATTAATTTGAAATTAAAATTAAATAAAGAATATAAATTAAACTATGAAATATTTTTAAAGCGTACATTTTTTTAAAAGATAAACAATTAATCTTGTCCATTGATTCAAATTCATAACTTCACACAATTCATTCTCTCCCATAAGGCTAACCACCACTTTTCCCTCCATCTTGAGTACAAATTTGGAGCATGCGTATAAATGAAGTTATCTTCTAATAAATTTTAGAAAGATTTACACGCAAGTCACTCAATTTCTATGTGTTAATGTATCAAACACTTAAACTCTAATATTGTACATTAAAAATGTGTCAGTGTTAATCTAGAGGAGATCTAATGGTCTAGAAAGAAGGAAGTACGAAAAAAGTGGCCCATCGATAGAAGACAAGAAAGTCCACTTTTTCATCAAATGTAGTCGTCTGTGCCAAGTCGAAGGCCGATTGAGTCAGGAGAAGGATAAAAAAGACGATTGATCGATCTGAATTTGAACCAATCAAACTAAAATAAAACAAACAAACATTCAAGTTAATCACTATAAGAAAATTAACCGAAGACAACAACTTACTTTCCGGTTGATTCAACCCGAGAAAAAAACTCAATTCCTTAATATCACTAGTAGTCCCATGAATGTCTCTAAGGTTTCTCATCAATAACCAAGAATTGAGAATATAACAGTCTTATAGTTATCCCACATGTTTTTTTTGTCAAAGAATGAGCTATCTATCGAGTTATGATGATTCACCCTCTATCTGATAGTCTAATCGCATTCCGTTGACAAGAACTCCTTATCAATGGATGGATGGTCGACAACAAGATTAGATCAACCAATTAGCAAAACATAGTCGGTTAAGTCAATCTTGCTAACCCTAAAGTCAATCAAACTCAACTGATCGAGCCAGAGAACAACTGATCAGTAGACTCATATATATAAAATACCTATAATATCATATACTGTCCTCATTAAAATAGTGACATAAATATAATGTCACTATATTATAGCATCTCTCCCATAAACAATGACACCATTTTATGAGAGAATGATAAATAAAATATATTCATGTTCATTATTGTTCACTCATCTCTCTCTCTCTCCCTCTATTATGCTTTATTTATTAAAGTTGTGATCATGGGCAATCAGGATTCAAATATACATCTCTCACCACATAAAGACATATTTCACTCTTTAAACGAAAGTGAGTTTTTTTATGCGATATGAAAGATTTGTGACATAAAGGTAAAAAAACTTATGCGAATGTGCTTGTATTATATTCATGGGCAAATCAAGATTCAAATATAAATCTGTCACTGCATAAAAAGACATTTCACTCTTTAAAAGAAAGTGAGATTTTTTATGCTATATATGTAAATGCTCCTAAAGTTTATTCACTTTGAACCGAGAAGAGAAGGCTAAACCCAACCTGCTTTAAAAACACAGCTTTTCCTATAACAACTTTTGAACAGGCTATTATTAAAACAAACAGAAGTTCATCAGAAGGCTAATGCCATCCTGTTTCTCTACCTCTCTACCTCTCATAATATATATAACCCTAAACAAAAAACCTCAGTTTTGGACTATTCTACGAGTGCCACCAGTTGGCGCCTGACAAAACAACAGGGTCTGACAAAATTATACAAAAGCGCTCGAGTTTAGCGTTAAGTTTGTTACTAAAATTTTTAGGGGGCATTTATATACATACATCCCAATTCCTATGAATTGATATAACTGTACTTTCTACATTTATACCACCCAAATCTTTCATAACACATAAAAAATATCACTATTTCTACTTTTAAAAAGTGAAATACACCATATCATTCATAGATAAAGTGGCATTTATGTAAAAATTAAAATTTAGGAGCGAGCTAGATATGTAAATACATAGAAATTGAGAGGCATGTATGTAAATCTTCCAAATTAATAACACCCTTCTTCATTAAATGAAAGTGAAATACACCATCTCATGAATAGATAAGGTTGCATATATGTAAAAATTGAAGTTTAGCAGCGAGTTAGATATGTAAATACACAGACATTGAGAGGTATGTATGTAAATCTTCCAAATTTATAGCACCCTTCTTCATTAAATGAAATTTTGATTACAGCTCAAGTTTATGCAAAGTAGAAATAATCAAATCTCATAGCTACATCCATTTGGACATTTAAAGCTGAATCAATTACTCTTTTTCGAATATATCTGAACATTTCAGCTATCTTACATTTTTAATATTAAAAAAAAGGTACTTCAATCCCTCAACTTCGCTTTGAAAGGATTTATTTTACCATTTCATTGCCATAAACAAAACATAACTTTGGACCCAAAAACCTCATGTTTCTCTTTAGTACAAGATCATCCACATTCGAATTTTTTAATTATTGCATCTTATGAACTTGAAAATGTTTCAGATAAAAATTGCATATTGGCATGAAAACAAAATTAAAGCAGAACTGAAAAAAGAGTTGTGGCTTACCATACCAGGTAGCATTAAATGTTGTTCATTGTCTATTTTGATCTTCTTCTTCCCCATGAGCCCGTCTCTCTCCATAATGAACCCATGGCAACAAAGACTCCAAGAAAACAACTGCTGCATTGCGGCCAGCAACTTCATGGGTAGCATGAGCTACCTGTGGATTTGCGTCCCCTTCGCCGCCAGGATGGATCTCTTCTAAATGCGGTCCAACCATAAACTGGCGCAACTCCTCGGGCGGAATCGTTGGAATTGTATCAGAGAAGTCCGAGACCAGAAGATGAGAATATCTGCATATCACCAAACAGTACTTAAGAAAGGAGGTCAATAAAATATAGGGGCATTTATATAAATACCACCCAATTCCTATGTATTTACATGTCCATTACATTTAAGCCACCAAAAATTTTCATCAGTTACCATTTTAAAGTTTAGAAAATGAAAATTAACTTTTCTAGCAAAGGTCAGATGGCATATATATATATGTAAAAAATTGAAGTTTAGTTGAAGTTTAGGTGTTAGATATGCGTGTTAGATATGCAAATACATAGGGGTTGAGTGGTATGTATGTAAATCTTCCTAATAACTCTGACTATTTAAATAAGACGTTTCAATAAAGTATTCTCAGTAAATCCCATCACAAGGCTGCTTGGTTGTATGATTTAGTCAGAAATTATACTAAAATTTGCCAAATAATTTTTCAGCTACAAAAATTCTACTACCTTCTGGAATCCCAACTTCCTTCTATTTTAAGCTAAATCTCACATTTATGTGAATATTGGAGAAATAAGGAGTTAACAATTTACAAATTATCTGTTTTCGCCCTTTGTCTAAATAAAAAATGATGAAAATGTATGGGATTTAATCATTTAACATCAGTCTGGCCGAGCAAATTTTTTAGGTTTGAAAGCCTCCAAGCATTAATAAATAAATATGTTTGTCTAAATCAACAATGTGGTATCTAATCATTTAACATCTGTCAGAACGAGCAAAATTTCAGGTTTGAAAGCCTCCAAGCCATAATAAATATGAATTTACACGATTTACTAAATCCTAGTTGTACCCAAAACAGCCCATTAGTGTTATTAACAGGAATTTACGGAAAATTGCTAATAATGTACAAATATCATGAGCCCTCCAAACAAAATCAATTAATAAAACAACTATACGAAAGGGCCTCTAAATCCAATAGGTTTAAACATGCAATGGGAAATTAACAGTTCTAAAAATAAAGTACATAAAGGACTTACTCATTTTTCTCCGAAGAGAAAGCCTCCTTCCGGACACAAGCCCAATCCTTGGCTTCACTGCTACTCTCTTTAAAAGATTCAATTACTTGCAGAGCTGCTTCTTTCAACAAATTTTGCAGTTCTGGTAACCTCCATATAAGATAACTTCGCTCCGCATATATGCTGATTAGGTGCTCCAATGTGGGGCTTCCAGCTTTCGCAGATCCAAAAAATGAATTCTTTAATATTTGGGTCCATATTGAATCTTTTAAAGGGGCCTTCGCAACCAACTTCTGCAGAACCAAAGGGTGAAGCATCAATGCTTGCTTCATAAGTTCAGTCGACGAAGCCTTCTCCGTCTGCCCAGCAGACTCACCGGATGATGATGACTCACGCTCCATAAAAAAGCGAGCAAACGCAAGAGAATACGAGAAATTAGGGAACAACCATAACGAGTTATCGCTTCTATACTCGTCAACAAATTCTTCCAACCAACGATACTCTTGCGCTCTTAAAGAGAAATAATCGATGCAAAGTAGAGCACCCTTTGGGTCATCATAATCGAGAGACAACAGAAACTTGCAGACTTCGAGCGCGGATCGATGACAACCTCGTCTGTCTAGATTTTTCATGTGAGAGAAAAGAGCGGAGAAGAACGGCTTATTCGTATCATGAATGTATTTTAGTTGGGAGTTGGTCTGCATTGGACTAAATAGTGGATGCCATGCACATTCCAGTGCGAATAAACACTTGGCGAGTACATCAGCTGATGACTGGTGCTCACCTGAAAATTTGAAGACCTCAGCAAATGTGAGCAGAGATTCGATGTGATAAGGATAATGAGCTAAGATGCCTGCGATGGCGTTGAGATCGTTAGCAGATTTAGCAGCTTCAAATGCTTCTTGGGCGTGACTATATGGTGCTGAATGTAAAAACCTGTAATGTCGATCAGAGAACAAATGTTCATTCAACCACTCATTCAACCAAAAAGACAGATTTTGCAGCTCAAATTCCAGCAAAAAATGAGAACAGGAATTTCAAAAATGAATCCAAGAGTACAAGGTAATGACATTTTCAATCAGGACAATTGCTATTATCTCTTTCACACAAATAATTAATTGAAGGGAAAATTTACATATCTCACACCTAAACTTTCTGTTGAGAAAATAATAGGGCGAAGAAAACAGTAAC